TGGTTTTGGTAACGAAAAACGGTAGTGATTTATTGCTACCTAACAATGTGTTTTGTTTTATATATGCACCTCATTATGTAGATTAACTGTCATTCGAGTCATTGGCCCAACAATAAATAATGTGATTGTAAATTGTTGTAATTGTTCACTACAGACTCCTTGAAGTACAAAATGCGCATTTAATTGCTAATATATAGACGTATTTTTAGAAATTAGAAACATCAAGATTTCCATTAGCGACACTTTGTTGTGACAATTCCATAAATAAATGACTACTCACGTCAACAGTAAGAATGTGTTCCAGTTCTTCATATTCGACTTTAACTAATGTTGCTGCTTTACGTGCCAACTGTGGTGTGTCTGCAACAATTCCACCAATAACTTGACCGACACACAAAACCTGCAAAACAATACAAACCGATCCAATTCTGACGTGTTTTATGTACAAAGATTGTAGGTACAGATTAATAAAAACCAGTAAATAATGTATCTGCTTTCCTATATCGAGAGGTAATATACAATAAATAAGCGCTAGCTTACTTCATCTGAAGCAAAAATAACTTCATCCAGTAAATCTGGGTTCGCTACACTCCATGCACTTCGTCCAGGAACATCAGATGCTCCAACAAAACAGCGTACACCTACGAGTGACGTGGCGTCTGATGCGTCGATGGATCTGCAACAAACACAGAGGAACGTAAAAACATTTACTTATTTAGGAATAGGCAGCATATTATGTCTGAAATTATTAAAATTCATTCGTTTCGGTAAAACATGCTTTAACAGATTTGTTGATGTATTATCTCATTGAACTGATTACAATTTTGCCAGAATTGTTTTATATCATTAAGCAATATTTTGGAACAAATTGAAAGACATTTAATCTATTTGTGTATGTGCAACTTTAGATAGTCAATACATGTTACTTACATTATTTTAGCATGTGCACGCTTGCTTGTTACAAGTGCAAAATGTAATTCACCTGCAGGTTGAGAAGAAATGAAGTGGTCAATTTATTAGGAGGTAAACAATTTATTCACTTCAAGAAGACTTGTTATGATATAATCTAAACCAACCAATAAAAAACTGAATTAATTAATGAACACATGTGCCAATCTGACTGGTTGTCATGGTAGAGGGGTAATATTATAAAATACGTAAGCTACCTTCTTCGAGCGTAATATCATCTAAAAAGATAGCTTCCCCAGTGGCTAACTGTAAACTTGATTCATTCATAATTGGTCGACCGACTGGATCATCCACTGATTGTCCACTTGGTACATCCTATAAAAGTGGAGGCAATAATTATCCATTGGCATTAACAATTCCCTATTGAATATACATATTAACATCCGTGTGTCTCTTCATAATTATCGACAATATATTGATATGTATTGAATGATAAAGCCATATACATATATGAGATTAGTATTTGCAATTCCAATAGAAACAGTATATCTAGATAAGTCGAAATTCCTAGCTTTATGAATAACAAATAATTCTTGAGTAAATTATTTAGAATTAATCATTAGTTAGAATGTGGGATGCAAGGGTGCATCTCATTCTTACTTTGACTGTACATATGCGTACCTGAAACATCTGTGTACTGCTGTAAGGTAGCATCTCAAGTGGGGTTAAAGCTGATTTATATGATGACGACAAGGCTGCAACAGTGTTAGCCTTAAAACAAAACAAAATGATAATATTAATAATTTATTTTGACGGAATAGTTCTTAACGTATTAGTAAAGAATGTGTTTGTGATTTTTTATTTTACAGTGAATTTTTTTTTCAGTTTTGTTAAATACAGCAATCTCACATCACCAATAATACTATTAAAACTATCAAAATATCACACTACAATGTATAGTTATTGGAATGTGTACCGTCGCTCAGTATGTTTAACCAAATAGTATGGAACACACATTTGTGTTAGTTGTAATACTATTGCAGTATAACCTCAAATAGTTCAATCAATTAAATTGTGTTGTGTAAATAAACAATGTATTTTATTGACAGACTGCTCACCATAGAGCCGAAACGTTTCAAATACTTAATTAATATACTTACTAGTTCTTGACTAAGACCATTCTGCACATGCAGATAAAATTGGAAGAAGAAACTCTGCAACAGATTCTTTCGATATTCCAGAAAACCACCTTCTGTTGCAAGTTTCAGTCTTTCTAACAACATGTGTTGAACATCTCTGAGAAGATGATCATCCCATTTCCTGAATGTAAATATAAATTTGTATGGTAATCCTTTCTTCAAAATTTCTTCAGTTTTTAATTATAATAATTCCTAACACTTAGATTAGATAATGTTGTAACACAAAATACATTTTCAAAGGGGATAGAAATATATGGCAGAACAAAATTGAATAATGTGTAATTTAAGTACAGTGTTGTTGTTGTGGACGTATCAGTTGTAAATATAAATTGATAAGCCTAAGGGAATCACAAAGTCATTACACACAATCACGTTTGCCTGTACCCAATTTGAAACCATCAGTGTTACCTTCCTTGAATTCGCTCCGTAATGTCGGTAGCCATAATGACAGTTGGCCCAGTTCCACCGAAAGAGAGGTTAATGCCCTTGATAACATCACTTTTGTCTTCGAATAAAACTTTCATTCCAGCACTAATCATGGCAACGTCTTTGTCTCGACGATGAACTTGATTTTTCACTTTGTACCCTCTAAAATATTCACCCTTTCAATGAAGTAATTATAAATACGTGATGGTTAATTGTGGGTGGTCACCCGTATCATATCTGTACTTGCTATTGATGTTGCTATTGATCTAAATAAAGGTTTAATGATATGAACATAATAATATTTTTAAATTGTAGGTCGATAATATTTGTTTCTGTTTTGTTGTTGTAGGGTTCTTATTAGATATATAACACCGGAGCTCGGATTAGAATGTTTGTCTAAATAATAGGCTTGATTCACTCACTTTTTCGCACATCCCGCCCTGGTCTTGGTATCACACAATAATGGACAGTGTGTCGTTCTTTGCTCCCTAAATTATCATGTATTATTGAAGGTTGAAATAAATGTTTTTAACGCTCACCTGGTGAGACTCTCATACGATAGCATTGATAAGTGTTATTATTTAGGGCTTCAAGTATTATTACCTTTTGCGAACACGGAATCGTCACGCTTACTAAAACATCGTCTGCTCTCAGACAAGTATTCCTAAATGCAGTAAAAAACCTTGAATCCAGGGGTATGGTTCTCGTGCCATCTTCAACAAAACAAAATATATGTATTTTAATAAACAGCGTACATTCACACAGTTGATATTACAAACATGGATGAACGTAATTTTTGAATTCAATCACATTAATAATTATTTCTATGTTGTAACTATGACGTCATATACCTTTGTGAGAAACAATAATAAGAGTGGCCTCAGCAGCCATCAACATTGGATTGATATCAGATAAAGGACTTGCACTCATTATATGGCTACCAATACCCTGAAAATAGATAAATCTAATTAATTATTGAAATGTCATTAAATGAAAATGGTGCCCATTTATGTGAGTGATGTATTTTAAACTATGAACTTACTGCTACATTTCTCAGTTGTTGGTCACCGATAAGTTCCAGCATATTCATCAAAGATGTAAAGATCGCTGTTCTGATTTCTGTTAATGAATAACACAACATAAATCACAAATCAAATTCACAACTTCCATTTGTAATGAATATACAAAACATGCTTGGAACGCATTTGCATTTTTAAATATGTTTTATCTAATTACCCCAGGAAGACAATCTTCCCATGCACAATCTAGATTTCAAACTCATACAATAATTTTGTTAAGAATTATTTAAAATAAAACTTTATCAAATTGAATAATTAAATATACACCAAACACTTACTTGGCAATTCATCTGATGTTTTTTTGAGAACATCGTACATACGACTCATGGTGACAGAAGAACCAAATGTGATGCCAGAGTCTGTGATATCAATCTGGTTTAACTCTGGTACGTGTGTTGCTGATATCAAAGTAGTTTTCACATTATTTTGTCTTGGTTCAAATCCTTCAAATAATATAATATGGACAATACATTGACAGACCTGTTACATATGGTGTTTGTGAAAGAGTATCTGCAATACACATTTAATGTGTACAATTCCACATTGAGCTATGACAAAAGCTCAAAATCATTAAACGTATATAACTCGGGCTCAGGTAATCATCTCAATACCAAATAACACGACGAAAATCACTTTGCAACATATTTTACATGCAGCATAAAGATACAATCTATAATTCTAAGCTGCATATTAAAGATCAATACATTTTAATCCACACACAATTTATTTCTAGCGGATGAACTAACCAACTTCAGCATTGCCAACCACCAATTTAGCCGCAGGAAATTCAGTCTTCAATCTAAGAAGTTCTTCCAAGGAGGTTGGTCGAATCCAATCCACTGATTCTCCAACAAACAGCACCTTCTTAGTGTGGAATTCATCAGTTGTCTACATAAAAAACAAACAAGTGTGAAAATAAATGAACGATCCTGGAGAAAATAACTGTATTGTGATGCAATTAATTTTATGAATACGATACTAATATTCTTTCTACAAACATTCATGGGTTAAACTAGTGGAAAATGTGCGATACAATAAGCTCGCCCAGTGATCCTTCATTTAACAAATGTGGTGAGATGCACATAATCTTCCGAAACCGCAATATTGTGACACATTTAAAATTATACTTTGTCCCTCTTCATAATGTGTTTTTATTTACGTCTGACTCATTATGCGAGCATTTCCCGACCTTTTTTTCCCTTTACGCAATATAATGAATATTACCTGCAACTCGGGTGGAAATATCAATTCTTGGGACGGGTCGTAAGGTGTGCAGTCACTGGGTGCAAATAAATGGTTCAAAACCTGAAAGAATATTTTTGTCTCGTCAATAACATTTGATAATTGCATTTGTACTATTTTTTCCATAGTAGTTCCGTGTTAGAATCTGCGAAAATTTCGAAAGTGCAAACCATCTTCACATCTGCAATATATCTATGGTTTATAAAAATACAGTCTCCATACAACCACATTCAGAACTTTTTTCATAGCCTACAGACTTGGCTAATAATCATTCTAAAAAGTTATTCTGCTCATTGACAAACAAACAAACAGACAACCTCTTGCGTAGCTATCAACATTATATAATTTAAATGAATACTCTTAAAACACAGTTAGTTAAAGATGATAACTACAATATAATAAACGAGCATGGGTTCGAAGCGAAGATGAAGAAGTATAATAATCTAATGATGAAAAATTATAACACGTTTTTCAAAAAATAAAAAACATGGTCCGTGTTTTACATGGCATGTGTATCTCATACAATATGTCCGTGATACTACATATTACTTACATTCTTGTCATCTTGACTGTCATTGCAGATAGATGGGTTTCCACAACAACCATTCTGCAAAACATATTTATAATAGATTATTATATGTTAGGTTTAGACAGAATTTCAAAATTGTGTAGATGAATAACAATATCCCTTTGATCATTTCCATCTGCTTCATTAAGTAATACTTATTTGTGAACCATAATGCTGTGTAAAAGATTCAAGAATGAATTACCTTAGCAAAAGTCTTAAACCCTTCCAAAATAGGTCGATATCCAGTGCATCGACATAGGTTGCCTCCAAGGCAGTCTTCTATCTGCAGCTCGGTTGGCTCTGGATTATTACGTAATAAAGTGTACATTGACATTACCATGCCTGGCGAACAAAACCCACACTGCAAACCAAAGGCCTTGACAAGTCGTTCCTGTTTTATTGATAGCGAAATGCAAACTGATGTGTGAATATGTTCAATATACTATAGTAAGTGTCATTGTACTGTATAACAACAATCCAAATTTTAGATAAAATACGTACCTGTACTGGGTGTAACTTTGTTGATGATCCAATTCCTTCCACTGTTGTGATAGCCATTCCATGTACAGAGCATACAGGGGTATAACATGCATTAATAGCATAGTGACTGCACAAATAGTTCAGATATATTGTTTGGATAATGTATTATTGATTTTATTTCTAATTGTCTACTACACACTAATACTACACGTAGTGTGCTGGGTAATTGTATCTATTCTGTGACTATTGATATGTATTACGATGCGCTACATGTATACTATTAACATTCAAATTTTAGTGTTCATATCAGTTGGCATAACAAAACGATGCTGGGACATGCTATAATAATGTACACGCGCTAATATTTTCTTGTCAGCAAGCTTTCACGTGCATGCATGTATAAAGGCATAGATAAGCATTGCACCTGTAAACGTGGTGAAGCACGTGATATTTTAGAATCAATCCTGTTGCATAAAAAGGATACGATATCTTCTTGTCCACGTGGTCATATTTTGACAGCATTACAGTACAAGCTCCACATCCTCCTTCACCACAAGACAATTTACTCCCTGTCAATCTTACTGAATAAGGAGTCAAGGTAATACATGACTGTCTAATACTGAACTTGTCACATGGCATCAATACATGTTACATCACATCATTGTCTATTTTCTAGCTTCCGCTCATATTACTACGACACCACATGTTATTCATACATATAATACCAATAGTACAATGCGACAATGATGGCATTGTAGAGGTGATCACAATAAAATCATTCAATAAGGTAGGGGTATTTAAACTTGTATTACTACTGTCATGAATTAGTTTTCGCGTATCTGTTGACCGACTTATGCAGCTGATTACTAGTGAATAGTTGTGTTAGATCTGTCATCATTTAGGCTTATGCGAGGTCCTGGACGGAACTTGACTCAGTGATTTGAAACTAATTACGATATAACCGTTGCCATCCGGACCGCTATTTCTGACGGTTTGTATTTGCAGTTATTAATATAGTGAACGATTAATCAAAAGATATGGCGTGTTCAGTACTTAGTTTGATTGGCTATGTGCAAGTTGAATGTGTGAAGGCCACGCCTTTAGAGTCTTTAAACTTCTTTGTAATTGGTTAAGTTTTGATACGTAATAAATGGTCTAAGTCCTTGGTCCCAGAGAAAGCTCCATGAGGCGAGAGAGTCTTGGTCAGGCCTGGGCAGAGTCGCCGGCGAGGAAGTTTGCCTTGAGGCGTTCTCGATGTGGCTAAATACTAGCTATTGAAATTTATTTCGTTGAGTGCGTCTATTTGACTGTAAAGTTTAAGTGACTTTCCCGGTCCGGTACCTCAAGCGGACGAGATATAGACAGACGAGAAGTTTCCCACTGACACTACTATAGATAGACGAATTACATTTCTCAGATGTGTTCAGAATAACACGCGTCCCCATTATAGTTGTATTGCACCAAAAATGCATCTCTAATTAAGTACTAATGATCACACAAACTTGTTTACTGCACACTCTTCCTTTAGGAAACACATGGTGTTCAATGTAGGTAAGAATGTAATCGATAATTGCACAGACAATTGTACAAGATGCCTGAAACGCACATACAACATACCCGTGACCAATCTATCAATGATAGGATTGCATTTGAAACATAGGTCTATTTCACAAATAGATCTTTAAAAAGAATACGTTTCTTTCTGATATAGTTCAGTAATGTTGTTTCCGGTTCCACGTGACTATCTGTAAACTAAAATTAAAAAACAAAACATGAATGGGCTGATATTGATATATGAACAACTATGTGGTTCTTGAGATTCGGGCAATGAATTGATTTCAACAGAACAAATAACCTATTTTGAGATCATTGCAAATTGTATGTGGGAGTCCGACCCGCTACCCTACACGTTTTCCGTATATATTCCAATTTCGAAATGGCCAAATCAACATTGAAAATAGCCATTATTGAATTGTGTAATTCGATATTGCGAAATACTAACATTTCGTAATACGATTTCAAGCGCTTAACTAACAAATACTAAAAATATTCTAGATTATTTTGTGATTTTCTTTCTTCAAAAAATATATTCAATTATTAATTCCAAAATCATTTTATTTTGTTTTATTTATTTTCAGTTTTGCAATCGCGAAAATATAAGGGGATAGTTAAAATAACACAAGACTTATGCAAAGAAAACTAATTTCAAAATAATAATAAATACTAGTATATGAAATATATGTATCTGTTTTTTTTTTTTACAAAATACTGATAACGTCGACTAAGCATGTGTATCGCTACCAGCATATCTATCACGTTGTGGAAATGTTGAAATTAATGAATCAAAATGTGTGTTAGAAGTGAAAAAAAAAATTATAAATGATACACTGTCGAATATTATAGTATTGTAAATAGAATTTAAAATTGTGTTATACTCTGAATGAATGAAGCTCCTGTCCCGTCACAAAACCAGAGAAAAGGTTTCCTTTTACCCGTTTTCATGGACGACCCCCCCCCCCCGCCATATGTCGGTGAGATATAAGCTACATCCGGGCACTACCTACTATTTTTATCTGAAAAAAGAGCTGAAAGATATCTTACCTTTTTACCATTAACGTATATTACGAAATCGTCGGCAATATGTTTTTCATTGATATCACTAGCTGACGAAGACATGGCTTTGTTTCAATGCCCCACGATTATAATACAATGCTATAAATATAAACATGATAAGGTAAGCGATATACACACAAACACAGTGGCCTGACGATCTATTCGTACTTCCATGATTCGTTTCAATACAATACGTCTATGGGACGGAACGACTATGTCCCGGTACAGGTACATTACCCTTCCTCACAATAATAGAAATTATAGAATTAAAACAGCTTGGTAATGTAAAACAAGCATATGTCATTAAATTGAAATATGCACGCTCTGAAACGCCAAAAATCACTAATACTTGTTTCCGGCCGATCAGCCTGCACTATATATATATAACAAGAGAGGAAACCAAACATGCACACATTTTTTTAGCTTTCAAAAATATTACCTCAAAATACAAAATACCTTGTCCAAACCAGTTACGAGTGCTTATAAGACACTGGGCTTTTGCAATATGTCGACCGATTACATTTCACGCATTTAAGACGGAAAATTACAATTTCTGTTTTTTGTGATACCAGTTACCGCTGTTTATGTCAATTTGCGCATGCGTGGTTCGCCCTCAATCGGCAGAACTGCGAATTTTGCCGGCACAATTCCAGAAGCCGTACCTACACAAGAATTGGTGACGTCACAAAATACATGACCTTCAATAGGGGTCGTTTGCTCGGTATATATGAATTAATTTATACAAATTACAATAATGATACTTAAGACATACATTACAAATAAGGTAGAACAAATCACGTGACAATATAATGATACTAACGTTAATAAATCCTAGCAGTTGGACAGAACGATCATATAGTCAGTGGGGTCATGCCAAGGGTCACGCACTTGTGGTTGAAACTAGGTCATGGCGTGACGAGCGAGGAAGACATCATTAAACACTCACAAAATCACAATAAAACGGGGAAGTGGTCACATATTACGGCGTAGCAAACATGGGAAATAAAAAAAAGCCCAATACAAACAACAAGGGTTCGAATCCCACTAGATATACTGCCAGCGGGGCACAATTGCAGAAGACGTACCTACATACGAGTAGTTGAAACAGGACGATATGTAGTCAGTGGGTCACTTCAAGGGTCACGCACTTCGCATAACGGGAACAACGCGCGAAAACACATATCACAAGAAACCTGAGTCTGTGGCTCATTTGGTCGGGTAGGATTTTGTTTCCAAACCATGCGTAATTTACTAGTTTATGAGGGAATAAAACTGTGTTAAGACACCACAGTCAGCCTGTGACTATGAAGATTGACCTACTGTTTATTCTTGCGCGCGGAATTATATTTTATCAATATCTCTGTTTTTATATCAAAACTAAAAAGTATTTCACCAGAACTACAAAATAATATAAGTATGCCTAGACAAGAAATGAAATTGTTCGTACTGGGATTTAACCGATTTCATTGTAAAAACCGTTCACTATTCACTTCACTGGCGCGTATTACTATATGCAAATGTGACCTTTAGGCATAACCCATTTATAAAAGTAAGACTTTTACACATTGATCCGTCTTCGAGATTTTCGCATCGTTATTGGTCCACTTTCCAACAGTATTGTATGGGTACGGCCACTTTTTACTTTACAACAGGGTGATATTGTTAAGGTGGTTGACA